CTTTACTTCTATGTCATTCAAGTAGGAATATATTTATGACCAGTGCCAATTAAAAAAGGCAATAATTGAGTTTAGTTTATATAGATGTCAAGCCATCACAATATACATGTCAGAAAAGTCCTAAAATTTTCTCGATTTCTGCTATATGCTTTTGGTCGATTAGAAACTAAAAAGAAAATTAAAGAAGATTGCTATATTATAAATTAAATGTTGCTGCAATCAAATTCACGTGTATCAAATCAGTGTAGCCCCATATCAACTCAAACTTACTACGCAATAAATCGTACTAAAATTTACAATTCATGAACAAACATACTTTTTTATAAGGAGAGAAATATATGCTCCGGTAATATTTTATAGACATTTAAAAATTAGAAGGAATTATGCTATTTAAGGAAAGAGATTTAATTCACCGTCTGCATAGTGATGTATCTATAGTTAAAATCCAAGAGTACAATAAAAATTATTAAAAAAAGACATAAGAAGCATGCCCCAGAAAGGGTTGAATGTAAATAATTCGTGGGCAATACAGATTGTATCCCATTATGATATTTACACGTACGAATTGTAATTTACTTAACACGGGAAACAAAGTTCTTGTTGGCCAACCTCATAATTTGGCACTTAGCAAAAATTATTTTTCTCCATTAATTAGAGATTCTGGAAAAATAGGATAGCAATATCTAAAAAATAAACATAAAAATAACTAATTGGAGAATCGTACATGAAGCAACGACGCCGCAACAAAAATATATAGAGAAAGTAACTACAATCATACATATAAAATCCCGAAATAAAATTGAAAAATATATAGAACAGAAACCTAAATAGATCCAGAATCATACCTGCGAATTACAATTCTCTTTTGGTACCAATAAACGAAACAAAACTGCAAAATAGATAGGAAATCAAGTAAATTTAACTTGCAAGTCCTTATCTTGAACTTAGGTGCGTATGTGAATTATACTTTAGCATTGCGCAACAACTGAAAGACCTGCCATTTACAATCACAAACAAGTAAAAGATATAAATCAATTAGGGGAAAAAATCGCATAAGTTGGATAACAAAAATCTATTAATACTTAAAAGTATTGATTAATGAATGAATGAGTTACGCAGAAATATATTTTCTTTATATAACTTGTTTATACTATGTTAGAAATTTATTAGGAGTAAGAGATTTCTTGCGTAAAAATCAATCAATTTCCTTGTATAAACTTAGAAGTATTAATTAATTAATAAATACAAGGAAATAATAATAAAGCTTTTATAAATCAAAGATACAATGTATGTACAAATTAGGACTCGTACATAGTTAAAATAGGAAAATGTTTAGTAGCATATATTTTAGTCGATTTCAAACTCTTAAATATATGTAATAATTAAATTACTATTTTGTCTAGTGTGAAATCTATTTTTGAAGGGTAAAAAAGGCGAACGACATTTCGCTAAGGGCCTTCGTGCTTTTAATATAATATAGATTAATTAAAAATAAGCATTCAATTACGATAAGTTTGAAGTCCCAAAGTAAGAACTCAATAATTACGATGATTTTACATTAAGAATTTTGTGTTCTTTTTTTTTTTCTAGAAAAAATAAGAAGAACCAAAAACGAAAACAAAAACATTTCCATCGAGGAGGAAAAAAAAAAAGATGAAAGGTTTAAGAACAATAAGCAAAATATACTAACATGTAGCCTTTCTCCACTAGGATGGAATAATTCGTCATTTTATTAATGACAGTCACCGCCAACAATATTTGTTTTAACAGTTAAAAAATTAAAAACATATAAGGTCTTTTATTACACAACAATATAAGCTAAGAATCTAACAAAATAATGGAGAAATTTCTCATCCAAAACAATACGAAGAAAACAAAAGTATTGCTGGTCTTGGAAAGAAAAGGGTGGAACGAAGTCGTGGAAACGGAGTGGGTTAGGACATTTAAAAATGGTTATTTAGGGATATAATAGTAAAATTGTTTGTCAAACTAAAAGTGCTTATAAGCTGAAAATTCATAAGTTGGGGAGACCAACTTATGACTTTTGGCTTATAAGCACTTGATTTATAAGTACTTTTAACGCGTAGATAAGCTAAAAACTGTTTATAAGCCAGTTTGACCAGCTTATAAGGTTAGCCAAACACCCTCTAAGAAAGGATGATGGCAGTACAACGAATTATATTCGGGAATCATTACAACGAAAGACATGGTATTGACGAAATATCTGATTTATTAAATGTTGCGGCTAAACGCATATGCAATATACGTAATCGACAAGTGATAAATGATGTATCATTTTCACGAGAACTTATTATTAATTATTAGCTAAATAAGATTAAAATTTTGTAATCTAATCAAGTTGTCAAGGTTGAGTTTTTGTTACTAAACTACTATTGTAGAAATTAAATAAACAAATAAAACTATGACAACAAAGAATTATTATTGAGAATTATTTCAGTAGAGATGAATAGTCCAGGATTCTAGCTAGTTCACCAATTCTGTCGAGTTCTAGTTAATATTCCTTCAACTTGAATTACTTATAGTTGCTAATTAATCGAACTATATTTACTCGTAATATTTAATATTCCGAAATACTATTCGAATAGATTAACGCCTATATTCTATTAAAATTAATCTACAATAAATGCATTACACTCATGGTATTTAATTAAGTGTGGCGAGTCGTGACTAGATATATTCCTATCATAACTACAAATCTACCCTTAGCCCTAGGAATAGGATTACACTCTTTTCACTCTTATCTAATCTAAGAACGACTTTTCCAGGTATGTCATAGTTAATTGATAAAACCTAATTATTGGCTAAACAATCAAGCAATTATGCACAACGTTACAAAAATAATCATAAAATGGAAATTACATTAAATAAGAGAATAACAATCAAATACTAATATGCATGACTAAACACAATTCTGGAATTATAAAACTTAGCTACACATAGTCATAATAACGAATCTTATAGAAATATCTCAAATACGTTCCAACTTATCAGCCTCTAGCCATATTAGAAACTTACCAAAACTAGTCAAACACATACAAAAAAATTTAAAACCCAAATAAATAAGGATTTTCTCTCTCCAAGAATCACACTCAAAGATCTCCTTCCATATTTTTAAGCGTGATCAATAACATTAGATGCAAGATGGAAACGAAATTTCATAGATGAGGTAGCAAACAAGGTGATGAAATACAAAAAAAAAAAAAAATACAAGATTCCAAAAATAAAAAGGACCTTTTTAATACGTATGGTTGAAATATATTGAAAACATATAGATGAATTAATATACAAAATTTGAGGAAGATTGGAAGTGATTTGGACTGATTTGATATCAAAATTCAAATTTAATTTAAAATCGAGTTCAAAAATTTCTTCTGTGACACATATATCAAACATGTATCACGTATGTATCTCACACAGAGGTATACATGGATATACATATCATACATATGCAATACACAAATGATACACAGTATGATACACATATCATCTTTTTTCATGTTCATCTTCTATCTCAAATTTTCAATTAAAACTACCCCAAAACTCTACCGAATCATTCTAAACTTGAGATTTAAACTCCTTAATATCCAATCTATTCCAACAAAATCCATTTTTTTTAAAAAAAAAAAAGAACAAAAGTTTAACCCTTTTTAGCTACAAATAGCTAATTGGCTAATGTTGGTAATAATTTATAAATTGGCTAATTTTTGTACTAACTTATGGGTTGACATAATTGATATTTTTCCTATTTACATGGTAAAATTATTATGAAAAGATGAAAGAATGAAGAACTCAAGGATCTTACTCTAGTATTGCTCCACACAATCCATTTCACCTCCAAATTGTCGTCCTCCCTGAAAAGTTGGATTTACAAGACTTTTATACTTGTTAGTGATGTCTATGACTAAAGAAACCTTTTTTTTTATTTTTGTGCTAGTAAATTTTTCCGAACTTGGGCGCCCTAGGCACCGCGGATCTGTGGCCCAAGCGGTGAAGAATTTCGGATTCGACTTTTGACACTGGTGCTGCCACGGAGCCCCCTCCTGGTACTGAACCCTTTACTCCTTCCTTTTCTGCCTCCAGCGCGTCAAGCACAACAGGTTGGTAACCTGGGCGCTAGCCCTTGCTTCTTTTGCATTTTTTTTTTTCACTTACTCGTACGCGTTTGCTTCATTCCACTTCAAATTACCATCTACATATATAAACACCAAAGTTAAGATCAAATCATCATAACACACATAAAAATCAACGGTAATAGAGCAAGATGCGAGGTACTTACAATATAATTATACACTCTCTCCGTTTCAATTTATGTGAATCCATTTGACTGGCACGGAGCTTAAGAAAAGAGAAAAGACTTTTGATCTTGTGGTGTAAAATGAGGCACATATGTTTTGTGTGGCTATAAATCATTGTGTAAAGGTAAATTGTTTCCAAATAAGGAAAGGGGTCATTCTTTTTGGGCTTAATGGCTTCCTGGCCACTTAAACTTGTAAAGCTTTTGAAAGCCGATACACGAACTTTGGATTTTCCCATTGAACACTCAAACTTGACAAAATGAGTACTAATAAACACTTTTGACCGTTGACCATGCCTATGTGGAAGCACTGTAGCATAAACTGTGTGCAAATCACGTTGCCAAGGCGCGTGAATAGTATTGTTTTACTTAAAAAAAATTAGAATTAGAATAAAATATAAATAAAAAAGAAAAATGAAAAAGAAAAAAAAGACTTTTCCCCTACGTTGGCCATTGGATGTGATTCTAACTCATGTATTCATAAAATTGCCTGAATTCATCTCTTAAAGAGCAGCAACAATTCTTCCAGCAACTTGGTCAAGATCACGTTGGCCATTGAATTCTTGCTTATCCTATTTCATTAACTATAGAAACCAATTGTATAATAGTGCTAACATTGTATTGTCTGGAGTATTCTCAGAAGCAACAAATTGCAAATACAATTCATTGAACTTCAACAACTTTCTTTACCTAAAAATAAAGTCATTTCTTCATTTACTTCTTGGATGAGTTCGGGCCCCTCTTCTTCCCGAAATCAACAATTGTTGTGACGAATCTGCGGTTGTATTGCATCCTCTTGTGAGCACGGCCGCGAGGCTTCTTCTTCTTGTCCTGTTTGGCAACTTTTGGAGTTTGCCCCCTCACTTTACCAGCACGAGCAAGTGATCCGTGAACTTTCCCCATGGTGATATCTGATTCGCCGTTCGCCGGAGAAGTTAGGAGCGTCTAGAGCTGCTCATACAGATTAATATTGGATATGTTTCAGGAGTTTTTTTTTCTTTTTTATATTTAAAAATGGGACCCACAAATAACACATGGCAAGTAATAAACAGCTTAGCATGATGTGTTGTACATGTTAGCGCAATTGATATACACGCTCTGATGGATGTGTTTATTAGTATTTATTTTGTCAACTTTGAGTGTTCAAATGGGAAAATCCAAATTTCGTGTATCGGCTTTCAAAAGCCCTACAAGTTTAAGTGGCCAGGAAGCCATTACGCATTCTTTTTGGCACGGACTAAAAAAGAAATAGGTTCACATAAATTTAAACGGAGGGAGTATATTTTAGTCAAATATCACCCAAAAAAATAATAAATGAAATTTTATATTGTGTGTCCGTTAAATAAGTAGCAAGGATGAGTGTCTTATCAAAAAAATTGGAACCATGTATGGTCTACACATGCAATACTTGTCCTTAATCAGCAGTACCATGAGGTGATAAACAAAAGCACAGTATCAGTCACTAATGGTTACAAAAGCTCAGTCCCAGGTACATCGAACCGTATAAGATCCTACGAAGGATCAGGCAAGTATCTTACGAGGTAGAGTTGCCACTAGAATTGGTGGATGTGCACCCAATATTTCACATGTCATGTTATAATATTCAAGTTTTCAGTATTCAGATTTCATGTTATAACATTCAAGTTAGTTCAGCACTCAAATACTTATGTCAGTCCAGTACTCAAATATTCATACCAGCTTAGTACTCAGATATTGATGTTAGTTCAGTGTTCGGTTATTCATGTTAGTTCAGTACTCAAATATTTGTGCCAGTTCAGTATTCATATATCCTAATTAGTTCAGCATTCAGGTATCCACGATAGACCAGTATTCACGTATATGTTTTATGTTATGCGTCTTATGTTGCCTTGTGAGGCTTGTGCTATGCTCTGTTAGCTGACAGGTATTTTAGAGAAATGTCGAAGGTAGCTATCCTTCTCATTAAGACCTTATATTATAATCTACATGTCCTTTAGTATTTAGTCAACTCAGTATTCGCTCAGTTCAATAGCCATCCAGTTCAGTACCTATTCAGTTCAATATCTCAGCAGTTCAGTAATCATGTATTCATTAATTTTGGTACGCATGTGTTCATGACGATTCAACTTTCACAGGTTTCCATCCTTCCCGTTAAGGTCCAGAGTTAGCTGTAGTTACAATAAGAACAATCATTTAAGGACGAATGATCCCAAGGGGGAGATAGTGTAACACTCCATAAATCCAAATTAGTTGTGGATGTGTTAAATGAGTATTAATATGACCTTTTAGACATGTGAAGTCCTATCGTGATGAGTATGTATGGAAATAATTATTTTAAAATCAAGATCGAGAGTGAGGTGCATAACATTTGATAGAATCGACTAAGTTTATGGGAGGACCGTCTCACAGCTTTAGACAATGCAAGCCATGAAAACTCATAACCTTAGATAGTGCAAGGCCATGAAAACTCACAGACTTATACATTGCAAGGTAATGTCCATGACATTAACTTTAGCGCCCCTGACAGAGCAAGGCACTATCTAGGGCATTAACCTTAACGCCCTTGACAGTGCAAGGCCATGTAGTTTTGGCACCTATGATGATGCCTCGCGCTGACGATGTTTATCCGGGCTACTTTTATTTTCCTCACAATTTTTTGTACGTGTATACTTATTTAAACCCTACCTCATTCCATACAACCCCAAACACATATATTTGCTCTAGAAAGGGGAGCTCTCAAGAATCCAAATTTCACAAGGTCCCTCCATCATCCAAGGTAAGTTCTAACAATGATTCTAAGCTAATTTCAATTATCCAACACTTTATTAACATCGGTTGGCCTTTCAAATCTTTAGATATTCGATCAAGACACCATCGTTGAGAACAGAAACCTTAGAACTCGAATTCATGAGGATTGAACTTCAAAAAGGTAATGTTTATACTCCCTAATTGTCATGACCCAAAATCAACCGTCGTGATGACGCCTATCGTGACTAGGCCATCCTCTACTTAACAACTCATCACAGTAAGAATAATTTTGAAAATAAAAACGGAAGCATTTAACATTAGAGAAACCTTTTTGAAAACAAAATGAATCCCAAAATATGATACAATCCAACCCAAAACCGGAGTATCACTGAGTACATAAGCGTTTAAATCAGAATACAGTCCACTATAGTGTCTAGAGAAATAAACTGAAAATACAACTAATGATATAGAAGGAGAGCCAAAGCCTATGAACGTCGTGCAATTACCTTGATAGTCTCCGAAGTCTAAAGCCTCAATCAGCAACCGCCGTCGTGATCAGAAACGCCTGAATCTGCATACGAGGTACATGGAGTAATGCGAGTACATCCAACTCAGTAAGTAACGAGTACAGACATTGGACTGAAAGGTAGTGATGAACTCAACTGATACAGATAAAATAGAAATAACTGTGCAGAAATGTAGGCATGCTTTCAAATTAAATAGGCAGCTCAAAACAGTAAAGTAAAGCAGATCCGAACAGTATAAAGAATATAACTCTGCTATCTCTACATGCCAATGCACATACTGTATGTGATGCACCATGCTGCCAACCTCATGTGCTCACACTCTCAAATGCTCAACAACTCGGTATTGTATATGACCCATACGGCCCAGGGAAGATCCATCCCGGAACATACACATCATAGATTATAAGTCATCCAATACTGAGGAAGGCCAATCCATCCCTGTGGAGAAGATCCATCATCATCTTCATCAATAGTTGGATTAGAATAAAGAGCATTCATTAACTCATGGTTTAACTGTTCACCAACCCCAACATTATGGCAAAATTGACTCTTAGTATATTGTAATAAACTATTATCGCTATCAAGAATTGCAGGTGTAGGACGAATATGGGGTTTTGGTCGGGGAGTCGGGGGCAGCAGAGGAGGAACAGATTGACCACTAGATTCGCCACTTTTGGATTTTTCCGTATTTTTACCAAATTTTTTCTAAGGGAGCCATCGTAATTAATCAAATAATAGAAAATAAATAAAACAAACAAAACTATAATATTAAAAATTATGAGTTGGAACGAGATTACCGAATTGACGAACAACTTGTTGAAAATTGATTATCGTTGAAGACTTGAAGACTTCAATTCACCAACTTCATAATTTTTTCATAAATTGTAACAATAAAGTAAGCAATAGTAGCAATTATAGAAGAAAATTAGAGAGAGATTGATGATTTTGTGAGAAAAATGAAAGAATGAGGGGGTATTTATAGTTAAAAAAAGAAAAAAAGTGTAATTATAAATAGCCAACGGCTATTTTTGAAAGACCAACGACCAGATTTTATAAATCCCAAATGGTTAATTTTTTTTTAAATTATGACCGTTGGGACCGTTTAGGCTTGCCTAGGACCGGTCCGGTCCCGGTCTCAAATGGCCCCTGTCTCGCGGGCTCAATGTAAAGGACCGGCCTAGAAGACCGGCCCGCTTACAAATTCACGGGCTTATCCAGGCCAAGACCGTTTAGGCCCAGAGCCCACATGGGTTGCGGTCCCGGGCCATGTGGGCTCTAGGCCTAAAAGGTCTTGGCCTTGATAAGCCCGTGAATTTGTAGGTGGATCGGTATTCTGGGCCGGTCCTTCACATTGAGCCCGCGACCGGGACCAGACCGGTCCTAGGCGGGCCTAAACGGTTCCATTGGTCATAATTTAAACAAAAAAAAATTGATCGTTTGAGATTTATAAAATCAGGCCGTTAGCCTTTAAAAAATAGTTGTTGGCTATTTATAAAATAGCCATTCAACCCCCCTCCCCGAACTTTATTTCAACCCCAAACTTTTTATAATTACACTTTTTCCCTTTTTTCAACTATAAATACCCTCTTATTCTTTCATTTTTCTCACAAAATCATCAATCTCTCTCTAATTTTCTTCTAAAATTGTTACTATTGCTTACTTTATTATTATAATTTGTAAAAAAAATTGTGAAGTTGGTGAATTGATATCTTCAACGATAATCAATTCAACAAGTTATTCTTCAATTCGGTAGACTCGTTCCAACTCATAATTTTTAATATTATAGTTTTATTTGTTTTATTTATTTTCTATTATTTGATTATTTATGATGGCTTCCTTAAAAAAAATTTTTGGTAAAATAAGGGAAAATCCAAGAGTGGAGAATCTAGTGGCCAATCTGTTCCTCCTCCACTGCCCCCGGCTCCCCGACCCAAATCCCATATCCGTCCTATACCTGCAATTCTTGATAGCGATAATAGTTTATTACAATTTACTAAGAGTCTTGTCATAATGTTGGGGTTGGTGAATAGTTGAACCATGAATTAAAGAACGCAATCAACCACTCGTGAATGCGAACCTTTACTGACCCCTCTCATTGCGAACGCGACCGCAACTCTGTGAACGCGTAGACCAAATGAATGGGTTCCCCCATTGCCTCTTCTCTTATTCGTGAACGCGTTCGCCATCTCGCGTCCGCGATGCACTCTGCTCCCAAACCTTCGTGAACGCGTCCTCTTTTTCGCAAACGTGAAGAACAAATCCTCCTCAGCCTTCAGGTACACTTCGTGAACGCGAGACCTGTCTCGCGAACGCATAAGAGGAAACTATAGATAGCAAAATCCAGCAAATATTAACTATCACTAAAAGGCCAAAAATGATCCGTTAACCACCCGAAACTCACCCGAGTCCCTCGGAACCTCAACCAAACGTACCAACAAGTCCCAAAACATCATACGAACTTAGTCGAATCCTCAAACCACCTCAAACAACATCAAAAACACGAATTACACACAGATTCAAGCATGATGAACTTTGAAATTTTCAAATTCTACGAACGACATCAAAACCTATCAAATCACGTCCGATTGACCTCAAATTTTGCACACAAGTCATAATGACACTACGAACTTGCTCCATCTTTCGGAAATCTAATCCGACCCTAATATCAAAAAGTCCACTCCCAGTCAAATTTTTCCAAATTTCTA